AATTCAAAAACGATTCAGAAACCTGTGACATGTCAACACTTATATTTCAGAAACATGTGATCTGTTAACACTATGATTCAGAAACCTGTGACATCAGAACACTATAATTTAGAAACCCACAACCTGTTAACACTTATGATTCAGACCCCTGTGACATGTGAGCACTAATATTTAGAAACCTGTGACCTCTGAACACTATAATTTAGAAACCTGTGACCTGTAAACACTTATGATTCAGACACCTGTGACCTGTGACTATGAGCACTTATATTCCAGAAATCTGTGACCTGTAAACCTGTTATCTGAGAACACTATGATTCAGAAACTTGTGACATGTTAACACTATGAATCAGGTACCTGTGACCTCAGAACACTATAATTTAGAAACCTGTGACCTATTAACATTTATGATTCAGACACCTGTGACCCGTTAACACTATGAATCAGGTACCTGTGACCTCAGAACACTATAATTTAGAAACATGTGACATGTTAACACTTATGATTCGGACACCTGTGACCTGTTAACACTATGAATCAGGTATCTGTGATTTCAGAACACTATAATTTAGAAACATGTGACATGTTAACACTTATGATTCAGACACCTATGACCTGTAAGTTTGACCTGCTGCAATGAAAATGAAACCAAAACAAATTGACAAATGTACAACTTGTTCCATTCATATAAACAACTGCAAATCTAAACTGTATTATGATACCAAAGATAATCCAATGTTCAATCCACAACTAAAAATAAAATTCTAATATTAACTGTACAGACTTTGTTCATTATTTTATACTAAACATAAAATTCTATCCATCACTCAATGACAATCTCCGCTTCTTTTTTATACTTTCCCATCTTTGTAGGCTTGTATATGCCTCGATGTTTATACAGCTTCGATGTTATGTCCAGCCTAGTTCTCTCCGCATCAAATTTCATCGGCATAAGATCCTTATCATCATGTAGCAAAGCATGTCCTCATGAGTATTCTTCGTTGGGCTTCACTCAAACATTTCTTTAAGTTGGTGATAACACCATTTGCCATTGATGTTGTTATTTTTCCTAGAAACCATTTATATTGTGGTAGTATGAATTTCCAGACCTGCAACAGGAGTTTATGTCAGGTCACAGATGCAAAATGACAGGTAACAACCATAAATAACATCATACACTCAGGTCACACTTCATTACACTACTTGTGAAAATAACTTCCAAATACAATTAAAACATATAAACCACCAACATTTCCAAATGAAAGCCGTAAATAAAGTCATACACTCAGTTCACATATGCAAAATAACAGAGGTCACAGTAGTAAATAAAATCATACACTCAGGTCACAGATGCCAAATGAAAGAGGTCACAGCCCTAAATAACGTCATCCACTCAGGTCACACATGCCAAATGAAATAGGTCACAAACACAAATGACATAATACACTCAAGTCACGGATTCATTATCCTTCTTGCGAAAATCACTTCCAAGATAAAAAATCACAACCTTCCCAAACAAATAACAGGTCGCAAACGAAATAAACAAACAACAAAATACAAAATTTTCACTGAACTCAGGTTACAGATGCCAAATGAAATAGGTCACAGTCATGAATAACATACACTCAAGTCACATTTTACAGTTTTTTTTTTAAAAAGGGACAATGTTTTAGATTTAAAAAAAAAAAAAATTGAAATTACCTTCTTCCTTGACTGATTGCTACTTGACCCACGCGATTTTGGACTTGTTGCTGGAGTTTTCTTGGGACTCACCGTCTTCTTCCTTTTGTTTGTTCGACCCGACGTTTCCACCATCTTCTTCCCCTTCCTTTCTTCATTGCGCACCGCCTTCTTCCCCTTCTCTTCATCCTTTCTTTTCGCCATTCCTAATCGGTGCCTATTGTAGATTCTCATTCCGTAGACAAAAGGGAATGCAAGGGATTTTGGGTAGATTGTGGAGAGAAGATTCGAATGTATAGATAGTGGAAATAGGGCGCGAATAACGTGGAGAGAGAGGATTGAGAGAAGATAGGGCTTGAATGATAATAGAAGTTGAGATATTCACAAATTTGAAACCTTGGAATAACGGGATACGCGCGTAATTAATTAAAAGATTAATTATTTAATTAAAATTTTAAAAACTGAAAAATTGAATAAATAAAGTCTAAACCATATTTTTAAAAACTAATCTTTAAATACATGTTTTTTTGTAATTTCCTCATTATTTTAATAGCAACCTCAAGGTGTAAACTGCTGAATCTTAAAAGTTTGAACATATTCATGAAGTCTTTCAAGGAATTTGGGTTGTTATATCATTACATTGCATTTAGGAACCGATTGTACAAAAAATGTGGTTCACATGTGAACTGATAATAGTATTTGCGTTCTTATATTGACATTTTATAAGTTGACTTCTGTGAAATGAGTAATTGCTCATTTTTACGGAAATTTTTTCTTTTTTATTTTAAATAATATAGACTGAAAAACTCGATCATTTTCATATATTTTTATTCTATGATTATACTAATTATAAAGATATAAATCTTATATTGAATAAAAATGAAAATATAAATCAACTTATAGAGGCTTGAATTATTCCTCTTAACAATGTTGATTTTTTAAAGATTGAACTTCAAGTTTTAGCCCCTGTTTGGTACTGATGTTAATCTAGATTTTATTTTAAGTCGAATTCAACAATGAGTTTTAACAATATATTTAATAGGAGTTACAATTTTTCAACCATACATTTCATAATTTTTTTTATTAAAATCTACTAAAAATTTGATTTTAATCCCTATCAAATATGACTTAATATGATATCAGAGCCCATCAAATTTCAACGAGTAATTCAATTTGATTAAAATTCAAAAAATGATTACATAAATTTGAAGATTGATTTGTTCAAAAGAGTATCTTGCGTGGCATGTTAAATGATAAATTTCACCTCGAATAAAGATAAAAATATAGATCAATATATAAGCGTTTGAAACACTCTTATTAATAAAGTTGACATTTTAAAACAGAACATCAAATCTTAATATTGATTATTGATTTTTTAACACTCGACTAAATTGTCTTTTGAGTGTTAATTTAGCCAAGTTCCAACAAAGAATTTTGTTATTTAGGCCGAGCCCATAAACCTAAATCTTGATTTCAAAATAATCTAAATAAAAAATATTTGCAAAAAATTATCAGTTTTGAACACGTGTTCGCTTCCTACAGTTCTTCTTTGTTGATTTCAACGCTGCACTTTACAATATAAAATGAGTCAACGGTCTTGTTTTCCCTTCTTATTCAATCCTACAGCTAATACCCCTTTATACAAGTTCTATTATTTTGTCAACGTACGCGCTCTCTTCAGGCACATGCTCAGTAACTATATAAATATGCAGCGTCAAGCCATTTTGAGTTCAGAAATTACTAGTATATTTTCTTAAGTTCTTCAGATTTCTTTCAACTCTACGTATTTCAGTGATCCGCCAAAATTCTCGCTCCAGCTTGGTAGTTTTCATAGTTCGTTCAAGGTTGAGCTTAGTGAATCATTTAATGGACAAATACAAGCAATATGAACGTGTATTCAACCACTTCGACGAAAATGGAGACATGAAAATATCGCCTTGTGAACTTCAAAAGTGCGTCGGCTTAATAGGTGGGGTGATGTCCCTAGAAGAGGCAGAGGTGGCCGTCATGTTGATGGACTCAGACGGAGATGGGTTGTTGTGTTTTGAGGATTTTGTGAAGCTAGTCGAAGGAGTCGGAGAAGAAGAAAAGATAAACGATTTGAAGGAGGCCTTTAGAATGTATGAAATGGATGGGAGTGGTTGTATAACACCAAAGAGTTTGAAGAGAATGCTCAGTAGATTAGGAGAATCTAAAACCATGGAGGAATGCAAATTGATGATAGCTCATTATGATATCAATGGGGATGGACAACTCAACTTTGATGAGTTTAAGGTTATGATGTCTTTACAGACTTAATTGGTTTCTTGTTATTGGACACATTCTTTCTGCAGGCTATTTCCTGCACAATAGGTTATTCATTTAATTTTTCATTTCTAATAAAAACACTCCAAGTGTCATGATTTTATTAATAACAATATTTAACAAAATTAGACGTGAAAATATATTTGAGTGATCATCCTTTTCGTGTGGAGAGAACTAAAGATAGACATGAGTTCTTCATTGTATGGATTTTAGCAACAAGTGAATCTAGCTCTCATGTTGAGAGTGAACCACTATAAATTCTGCATTATTTTATTTTTGTTTTTTGTTTTGCCTTTTTGTCAGCCCCTTAAAGCTAACATAGGCTATGGCATAAGCATGTGTTACCATTGTGCCATGGTCTTGTCGCATTTATGGTGCAATGCAATGTGGGATTTCAGTTATGGACAAAATGGCGTGAGCTCGACTTGATCCTATAGACAAGCCAAGCTTGGTTCGTAAGCAAAATATTGCTAGATTAAGTCCATTAGCACGGGGCCTCATGGGCTGAGCCAAGTAGTCCGTGTGCCTACTCGTTTTTATTGTTATTTTTATAAAAATTGAAACCCTCCTCCCTTCTTTAATTTGGATTTGAGACAACCTACGTTTAATGTAAACATAGTTAAAATTGTTTATGGATAAGATATTATGTATATAAATTTTTTAATTAGTCATAAATTTAAAATAAATAAAGCTTACAAATTATAGAGTCGGATATTTAAAATTTCACCTACTAATATGTAATCTTTATCTTGAATTTGAAACTCTGTGTCTTCTCATTCCTTTAAATACATTAAACTCTCTATGTAAGATGCGATGCTTTCAATATATTTACATGGAGTTCGAAGAGCCACAGAAATGATGTATTTTAATCAATTCTACAATCATGGTATTCGATCATTTGAAAACTTACAAGTGTACGAGATCATTGTCAAGTAATATAATAATGAACAGAATGTCGAACTCACGAGAATTATATGTTTGACCAAGTTAAAATTAATAGCAACTTTAATCGAATAACACAACTTTTATGATTTTTTTATACTAATACCTAAATTATCAATTAAACTAATTAAAGTAAGTAAATGTGTTTTTCAAATATGTGAGATGCATTGCTAAAATGTTGAATAATCATTTGCCCCTGTTTGAGCCACACTATCATTTTTCTATTCATTTTCAACACACATTCTTCAATAAAATAATATTTTTCATCATATCAACAACTTTTCCTTCTTTTTCAACCACATATTCACTATCACATCACAAAAAAATTCATTCTTTCCATTTTAATGTGTACCAAACACACTCTTATTATTTCATTTTTAGTGTAACAATTAAAGTGATAATTTGAAATCATTCATGTTGGTCAATATTCCTAAATTAATCGAAAGTCTCTCTAAATAGCGATCAAATTTATTCCCCTCGTGACCATTCTATCTCTCGATGAAAGATGCAAACATGATAAATGCATTAACAAATACTAGAACACATATTGAAATTTTATAAAGTATAGAGATATATCTATATCTTCCATCGAACCTGACAATATTTATTATAACGTGATTAACCCTATTGTCTCTCGATAACAATAAAATTCACTAACAATTCGATTTGTGATCAAACAATTGAAAAAAAAAAATGATAAAACGATAATAAACATCCACAATTCAAATCAAATTAAAGTCAAAATAATTAATTAAAAACTAAAAATATCATAACAAGGGTTCATCTTATCCTAGCAATATATAAAATTAACCTAATATATCGAAATTATAAGAAATCATATTTAAGTGAAAAGCCATAACTCGGATTTTTGAATCTGTTCAATGTTTTTTTTGATGAATCCCCACTTGCGCCTTCTCTTCTTTGCCTAAAAATCAAGTTGAATTTTCATTTAATTGAATTCTTGGAAGTACCCTTCAATTCTCTCACAAAAACTATGAATTTTCTTCATTTGATGATAATAATAAATGAATATTGGAGTATGTGATGTATATGTGAGGTCTACAATATGTACTCTGTTGTTAGGTATTTGTATTAGTAAAAAATTGGTTAAAAATCACATCCAAATTGATTTCCAAAAGAGTTCCAATAGAATAAGGAAAGTTGAATTCGCACGCGGATTTTTTGTCTCTATACAGTAGTCAGTATTTTGTCCATAACTTTATCTTTCAATATAGGATTGGGGCAATTCAAAGTGCGTTAGAAAGATAGCTCAAATGGATACAAACTTTATAGATATAGAATATTTCCAATTCCGACGTCTACTATTCCAAAAATGGGTTTCAATATTCGGCTTTAAACCTGGAATATAACTCCTACGATTGATAATATTTTGATCATATTCTATTCTTTTTGAGTTCTAATTCATCTAATTTTCTCCTAGGAATCTTTGAAGTATCGTCTTGTGGTCCAAATCAACTATTGAATAATTACAATTTGGTCCTCAAACTTTGAATTTTTCCATTTTCATCATTTTTCGCTTCGATTCCTTGTTCAACCATTGAGTTTTACCTGTATAACATAAATGCAACAATTCGGGATATATTTTATTAGAAGAACTATCAAATATCACTATTTTCGATCTCAAACAAGTGTATAAAATACACTTATCAGTATTTAAAGAGTAGGAGACTCTAGGGCATGTCAAAATTTCCCGGAAGGTCATGAATGCAATCAATAACTAACAAGTTGGATCCGGATTCATATTTAAATGTAGAATCGATCGACTCTCATTTTGAATAATATATGGAAGAAAGAGGTATAACAATATAATTTATACTAGAATTTGATAGAAATACTTGAAAATATATTCATCCATCTCTGTTATTGGTGAGAATTATAGTAAATGGTAAATATATGATTCTCACATATTTTTGAGTCTTGACCATATTAATATTCTAATATTTGATGCGTATCATAATGCTAGACGCTAATCGTTATTGTTATTTGATCGTTCACGGTTTTCTCTTACATATTCAAATATTAGAAATTTTAATAGGTCAAGTCTAAAAAATCTATTACTGATTTATTGATCAAAAGAGGTCACGTTTTTAATTTTTTTGGTCAACTGATGACTAAGCAACCTCATTGTGTAAAATGCACAATCCTAAAGTTTGAACATATTCATGAAGTCTTCCAAGGAAGTTGGGTTGTTATTACATTAAAAATATGTTATCATTACATTGCATTTAAGAACCGATTGTACAAGAAATGTGGTTCACATGTGAACTAAGAGTCCGTTTGATTGTAAGAGTGGAATTTTGAAGGAAAGAAAATGAATTTCAGGAAATTAAATTGCCTATAAGGGTCCGTTTGATAGGAAAGTTGGAAAATGGGTGGAAAGAAAATGAATTCGAGGGAAAGTAATTGATTAGAAAATGTTTTGTAGGGAATTGTTAATTATGTGTGTTTGATTGGTATAATTTTCCACTCGAAAAGTTTTTAAATTTTATGTTCATTTGGCCTTCGTTTGCATCAAAATTATCCATTAAAGTGATAATTTATTCCACACTTAATTATAAAATTTGTATATGCCAATCAAACATGGATTTTGTAGGAAAATGGAATTCCTTTTCCATTTTCCATGGAAAATGGAAGTAATCAAACGCAGCCTAATTGTTTTTCTGAGAATTGTCAATTGATTGTGTTTGATTAATATAATTTTCCACGTGAAAAATATTGAAATTTTGGATCTTTTAGTGTTCGTTTGACTTTATTTTACATGAAAATTGTCCATTAAAGGGAAACAATTTTTTACAATTGGGGATATAATTTGTCACCATTGCAAAAAAAAAAGGGCTGAAAAACCAAAAACCACCAAATAGGTGGGAAATCAAATTCAAGGAAAAGCAGGAAAATGAGGCAAAGTTGGAAAATCAATTGCCTAGGAAATTTTGGCGATCAAACAGCTAAAAAGGTGGAAAATGAAAAATATTTTCCAGCTTCCATGAAAACTTTTACACAGCAAACAGGGCCTAATAGTAATTGCATTCTTATATAACTCAAATTTTAAAATTTCATAAATTAATAATATACAAAAAAATGTTTCATAATGTTTTGGAACATAAATTTTAATTTGAATTGAATTTATCCACATGTAGGTGCGAAGGCATTATTGTCTCCATTTTAATGCAGCTTTTAATTTATACCATCCAATTTGGCTTCCTCCCAAAATTATGTAATAACACAAAAGTCTCCTTCGAGAATCTTCCAATATAATATAGACCCCACAAAATAAAGGGACAAAAATTTATACACTATATACAATTCAATCAAGTCTAAAGTTATTTTAAAAATATAAAACAAAAACCAGTTATTAAGGTTTTATTTACGTCAAGGCGATAATTTTATTTTCCATAAAAATAAAATTAGAAAACCAAATCTGCCCTCGACCATTCAACTCCTCCTTGATTATCTAAATAAAATTTACAATGTCAACAGAAGAAAACATTATTTCTCCATAAACGTGTTGTCTCATACCTGTATATTTATTGAGTGGTTATTACAGACATGGCGGCAATTAATAGTATTATTTTGTTGACAATTATATAGTCTTAACCGGTTTGAACACGTATACTTCTATTCTCTTCTTCTTGTAATAAGAACATCGGACGCTTCCTGGTTAATTCCGAAAGCTGGATCAACGGTCTACTTTTCTTGTACAAAATTCCCTATTACGCGTTTTGTAAGGTCGGTATCTGGCCACCATCACTTATATATACTGCATTTCTCATCGCATTTCCAGTTCAGGAATTTGTAGTCTTTTTCTTCATATTTCTCTCTGTCTCTCTATCCGTGTTTGGTTCTTGAAGAATATTTTCCTTAACAGTTGATTAATTAATTCTTCCTTGTGTTCCGACTTCCAGCAGTTCTCCAACTTGGTATTTTTCATCGTTTGTTCAGGGTTGAGCCCAGTTTTGGCGAATCATTTAATGGAAAAATACAAGCAATATGAACGTGTATTCAACCACTTTGACGAAAATGGAGACATGAAA